AGACTGGAGGTGGCGTCCGGGGACTTCGGGCCTCGGAGCCAGCTCAGTATGCTGGTAGGAGAGTTTGGGGAGACTCTGGGATAGGAGAATGCATTTGGGGTTCTGGCTTGGGAGTACTCCATGGGACCCCTGTTCTAGAACCTGGGCGAGGCGGAGAAGGGCCAAGAACGGGCCATATGCCCAGGCAGCCTTCCCAGGGCGATCGATCGCGGCTCTCCTTGGATGAAACAGACTCGGAGTCCGGAGACTGGGCCACAGGGGAGGAAAGTGCTCCCCGGAGGCCTCCCTGGAGGCGGAGGCCTGGGCGGCGGGTGGGAGGTCTGGGCACCCTGGAGCCGCGGTGCTAACGCTGTCGCCTCCCTCCCGGGGCTCTGTCTGCAGGGCTACTCCTCCGTGAGCAACATGAACGCTGGCCTGGGGATGAACGGCATGAACACGTACATGAGCATGTCGGCGGCCGCCATGGGCAGCGGCTCCGGCAACATGAGCGCGGGCTCCATGAACATGTCGTCGTATGTGGGCGCGGGCATGAGCCCGTCCCTGGCAGGCATGTCCCCCGGCGCGGGCGCCATGGCGGGCATGGGTGGCTCCGCCGGGGCGGCCGGCGTGGCGGGCATGGGGCCGCACCTGAGTCCCAGCCTGAGCCCGCTCGGGGGGCAGGCGGCCGGGGCCATGGGCGGCCTGGCCCCCTACGCCAACATGAACTCCATGAGCCCCATGTATGGGCAGGCGGGCCTGAGCCGCGCGCGCGACCCCAAGACCTACCGGCGCAGCTACACGCACGCCAAGCCGCCCTACTCGTACATCTCGCTCATCACCATGGCCATCCAGCAGAGCCCCAACAAGATGCTGACGCTGAGCGAGATCTACCAGTGGATCATGGACCTCTTCCCCTTCTACCGGCAGAACCAGCAGCGCTGGCAGAACTCCATCCGCCACTCGCTCTCCTTCAACGACTGCTTCCTGAAGGTGCCCCGCTCCCCCGACAAGCCGGGCAAGGGCTCCTTCTGGACTCTGCACCCCGACTCGGGCAACATGTTCGAGAACGGCTGCTACCTGCGCCGCCAGAAGCGCTTCAAGTGCGAGAAGCAGCTGGCGCTGAAGGAGGCCGCGGGCGCCGCGGGGGGCGGCAAGAAGGCGGCCGCGGGACTCCAGGTCTCGCAGGCACAGCTGGGGGAGGCCGCCGGGCCGGCCTCCGAGACTCCGGCGGGCACCGAGTCTCCCCACTCGAGCGCCTCCCCGTGCCAGGAGCACAAGCGAGGGGGCCTGGGAGAGCTGAAGGGGACGCCGGCGGCGGCGCTGAGTCCCCCGGAGCCCGCGCCCTCTCCCGGGCAGCAGCAGCAGCAGGCCGCCGCCCACCTGCTGGGCCCGCCCCACCACCCGGGGCTGCCGCCCGAGGCCCACCTGAAGCCGGAGCACCACTACGCCTTCAACCACCCCTTCTCCATCAACAACCTCATGTCCTCGGAGCAGCAGCACCACCACAGCCACCACCACCACCAGCCCCACAAAATGGACCTCAAGGCCTACGAACAGGTGATGCACTACCCCGGCTACGGCTCCCCCATGCCTGGCAGCCTGGCCATGGGCCCCGTCACGAACAAAACGGGCCTGGACGCCTCGCCCCTGGCCGCAGATACCTCCTACTACCAGGGGGTGTACTCCCGGCCCATTATGAACTCTTCTTAAGAAGACGACGGCTTCAGGCCCAGCTAACTCTGGCAGCCCGGATCGAGGATAAGGGAGCGAACAAGTGGAGTCGAGACTTTGGGCAGGCGGTGTCGCAGAGACGCAAGGGAGAAGAAATCCATCACACCCACCCCAACCCCCCCAAGACGGCAGTCTCCCCTCACCCGCCGCAGCCCTTCCTTCCCAAACAGAGGGCCACATTGATATCCCGCATTCTATATAAGGAGGAAAACGGGAAAAATTATGAAGTTAAAAAAAAAGAGAGAAAAAAAAAAAAGCCTGCTGTTTCCACTACTGTGTAGACTCCTGCTCCTTGAAACACCTGCGGATTCTGATTTTTTTGTGTTGTTCTCCTCCATTGCTGTTGTTGCAGGGAAGTCTTACTTTAAAAAAAGAAAAAAAAAAAAACTTTTGTGAGTGACTTGGTGTAAAACCATGTAGTTTTAACAGAACCAGAGGGTTGTACTATTGTTTAAAAACATAAAAAATAATAATAATAATGTAAGGGTCTGTTGTAAATGACCAAGAAAAAGAAAAAAAAAAAAAAAGCATTCCCAATCTTGACACGGTGAAATCCAGGTCTCGGGTCTGATTAATTTATGGTTTCTGCGTGCTTTATTTATGGCTTATAAATGTGTATTCTGGCTGCAAGGGCCAGAGTTCCACAAATCTATATTAAAGTGTTATTCCCGGTTTTATCCTTTGAATCTTTTCTTCCAGATTTTTTTTTTTTCTTTACTTGGCTTAAAAAATAAACAGTCTTGGAAATTCTTTCAAGAAGGAGGGAGGCATACTCTGACTGGTTGCAGGTGGTATTTTATTTTGGGCCTGGGAGTGTTGCTGTTTTCTCAGTATTTCATTATTGAAATTTTCAGATCTACCAAAACTGAATGAATTTTACAGTAGGCACACATGGACCTGCCGAGATTCTGCAATTAACATTTCATTATACTTGCTTTATCACATACTTGTCCATCTATCCACGCCTCCATTGGTCAATTCATCTTATTTCTCTAAATTCACTTCGTATTTGCAGATACCAGTACACAGCCTCCTAAACACTAAAGCAAGCTCATCATCAAATGGAACTCAATGTGGTTTATGTTTACTTTTTGAAATTTGGGGTTAACTGTACACACGATGAAACACACAGATCCCAGGCAGACCATTCCAGCAGGTTATTTTTAAAGCCAGTAGAAAATCACTCTCCTCATATCACAATTTTCCTTCCACCTTGGCTGTTTGAACGTGCCCTGGTGCTGTGCTGTCTTGGGCCCCACAGCTGGCCTCTCTAGGAGAAAGCCTGGATGTCACATGTTTTCGCTGTACTTATGATCTTTAGTCTCCTTCAAGTCAATGAGCCTAGAGCAAACTTGCAAATTTGTGGTGCAGCAATTTGCCTGTTCACCACTGTGAACAGTGGTGGAATTGGGACTCTGTTTGGATCCTCCAGCCTCCTCTGTGCACAGGCCACCACACTTTACCACCCTTCCCCTCAAGCAGGTATTTTGCACAACCATGACCGACCATGCTAACCCAGAAATGGTGAGGCACATGGTGTAGGGAAACATTTAGAAGATCTCCTGGAATTGGTTTGGAAAGGATAAATCAGGGTAACAATCCAAGCCTGTTTTTTAAAAATAGGGTATATTTGGGAGTGAGAAGGAGGTGAGTAGTTTCTAGCCAATCGACAATGATAGTGATGGAGATGACACTGTCTGCAAATTTGCTTCCCATCTTTCTCCAAAACTCAAGGCCCTTGCAAAGCCTCCTGTAAGTTAGATGAGGTTGGCAATTCAGGTTTGCAGGGCCCAGGGGATATGCGGGTATTTTGTGAGCCTTCATGGACACTCTAAGAGTATAAAGAAAAACTCAGAGAGAATTCTTATACATCGTGCTGCCTCTCCCCACAGACGACCTCGCTGGCCTCATAGGCGGCCAACGGCAGTGGAAACCAAGCCCAAGAGCGCAAAGGGGAGTCTGGCCGTTGGTTTTGCCCGGGACATCTGCTGGCTGGGAGAGGGCAGAATCAGCGTCGTCGAGGGTCCGGCGGGAGCCGCTCCCGTGCGCAGTTAGCTTGCGGTGGGTAAAAACACTCCGAAAGCCTCGAGCCCTGGACTTTTTGCTTCAGGTTTCTAAGCTCAGGCTCCTTTTTCCAAGATTGGATCTTTGGGCTTCTAGACCATCCAAACCAGGAGTGTCCCAGCTACGCCCCAGATCTGGAGACTGCCTTCACTTGCTACCTTGGCGAGGGGCGGGGGTTTGGGGGGGGTCCTGCCACCCCATCCCCCACCCCATCGCCACCCCCAACAAGCCTGGCCTTCCCAGGCGCTTGAGGGGGGTTTGGCGTCGCCTCCGCCTTCCACCCTCCCCACTGTCCTCCTCCCGCCTCCAAATCCCTTTTTTAACTGGTCACATTGTCCCGAAGAACACAAGGAAGAGAAATTGGGGAGGGGGGATCCGGAGGCTACAGCCAGCAATCAGGCCGTCTCTCCCTCTGGCAAGGACACACACGTCGTGAGCCTGGCCTGAAATGTGTTTCATTATCACATAAAAGGCTCCCGTGGCGAAGGAGCCGAGAGGCAGGGCCGGGGCCGAGTGGGGGACAATGGAGGCTGAAAGCGCTGCCCTAACCTGCTATGTTTCGTATGGCACGCCCATTGTGTGAGGGTCGTTTTAAACTACTTAGCGCGCCCCCCTTCACTGATGCGGGCCGATAAGATATAGTTCTGCCCGAATACATAAAAAGGATGTCGGGGAGCAGGCGCTTTCGGAGGCTTTTCTGTGCTTCTTGTGTTTTTCATGTCCCCCTCCCTCTTAACTCCCTCTCCTAGGCCGAGTTCCGAGCCTACGAGTTCACAAATCGCCTCCGCCCGCTTTCCCCAACTCTACGCATTGTGGGGTGCAGCAGTTCTCTCCCCCCCCCCGCCTCCTTTTTTTCCTTTTTTCCCCACGCCTCCCGCGCGCCGGTTTAAGCAACCATGATCTGTGAATAAACAAAGTCTGTAAACAACAGAAAAAAACATTCTAGATCCGAATTCCAGGAGGGTAAACTTTCCATGACACGTCACACTTCAGCAAATTTGCACAGATATTATATTGCCTCCCCCCTCCTTTATTATTCTTTTTTTTTTTTTTTTGCCAGGATCCCATTGTACTTAACTGAATTTTATAACGCTGATCGATATCTTGGTAAAATATTCATTTTTAAACTAGCGGGCAGTGAAATCTTTGCTTTGTGTGCTAAAGTCAACAGTCGCTTGGTTTGAGCTCAAATAAATGCGGGGATGCCTCGGCTCGGAGCAGTCGGCCGCCTCCCTCCGCTCGCTGGACGCTCCGCCACCCTCCCGCCCGACTGCCCGCCGGCTGCCGCAGGTAGGGAGCGCGCTCACTCGGGGGCCGCGCGGAGCTCCCCTCCGCAGCGTCAGCACCCCACTCCTGTCCGCGCGCCGCCCCTCCCCCAGCCAGTGCTTCTTTTTTTCAGGGCTCAGATCCCCGGGAGGGTTTGGCGCGTGGTAAGCTTAGCTGACAGATACTCAGGGGGCTGGTTTTTTTTTTTTTTTTTTTTTTTTTTTTTTTTTTAATTGTTGTTGTTGTTGTTGCTTTTCCGGGGGTTCGGAAAGTGCAGGACTTGGAAGGATGAGGGATCGCAGAGTTGCAAACTCAGGCTCTGAGCTTAGAGGAGGTTGGTAGGGCCCGGAGGAAGTCACACAGGCCCCTGGTGCAGCTCGGGTCTGGGGGTTCCATCTGAGATCAGCGTGTTTCCGGAGGACAGAGGAGGGTGGGGTGTGGGGAACGCCCTTGGCCTCAGAATCTAAGGCCGTGGTCAGTAGGAAACGATGTACGTGGTGCAGGGGAGTCTGGAGAGGCCGAGGCCCAAGCGTGGTGAAGCACTCCCCTTGGCGCGAGGCGGTTCGAGTCCAGTCTCGACGCTTTCTCGGACGCTAGCAGGCCGAAGAGGAGGTGGGGGTAGGCATCAAGCAGGACCAGGGGAGGGGCTGCGCCTTTCCAAGAGGCGAGTGAACCTTAACTCTGGCTGCAGGAAGCGCCTGTGATTGGCGGCAGGCAGGTTGGGGAGCCTCTGGGGTTATGAGCTAGGTCCGGGAGAGAAAGTCGGAAACCAGACGCGGGGCCATTTATCATCCCAGTCTCCCTGCAACCCAGTCGCCGAATTCCCACTTCCACGGCTGGCCCTAGACAGGAGCGCGCTTGGGCTTGCCGGGCTTGCGCTCAACAGTTCAGGAGGACCCAACAGAACCAGCCGAGTCTTTCCGTCGTCTGCGGAAAGGCGTGGACCTCGGAAAAATAGTAGTTCTGCTGCTGCCCCTTGAAACCTCAGGACTCTCGGTTTTCGAGGGCAGGGTACGATAAAGGTGTATTTCCGCAGGTGTCTACCAGGTCACCCCCATCCCCACCCCCGCGACAGATCCACATTCTCCCTGGGATATTTGCCTTAAACACCTGGGTAGCAGGCACTGTGAGAGGCCGGTGCCAGGATCTATTACTCTGGGTCTTTGGCCTGACGCGACCGGGAATTGGCACATTGAAATTGCCCGCCACCCCCGACTAGAAACCTTTTCCCATCTGCGCCGCAGTAACCAGACTTCGTTCGAACCCAAGTGGGCAGAAATCGGTTTCGTTTTTCAGCAGGGTCAGTGTTAACGTGGTCACGTTCCTGTGTGGGGACCCTGGGTGGCTCCTCCTCTTCTTCCCCGGTGCCTTGGGCTGTGCGCCCGTGTCCACTGCACCCGAAGCCTGCTGGGGAGCGCGCCCGCAGCCCTCCGAGCCCGGCTCGCCTCGCGTGGCTAGTTATCTTCCCTGAACAAGATGGAATGCCTGCAGGACACACGCAAGGCTAATCGTTTTTAAATAATTAATGCCTCCCGTTCTGCTGGTAATGCGCCGCGTCGAATCCGTCAATTACTTGTCATTAGACGGGTGTCTCCCCACGGCCTTCCCTCGGGCCTTTGATGGCTCCGGGTCCCCTCTCCCAGGCCACTCCACGGCCGAGTTAAAAGGTGCCTTGCCTTTGAGAGCCCTGTACGGAGTAGCCACGACCCTTAATTCAGTGTGAGTTTTGAAAGAAAGAGCCTTGCTTTAAGAGATGTAATCTTTCAAATGGCCAATTTAAACGCCCGATCTTTATCGCTCGCCTTCTCCCTGGCCTCATAAAGAGAAGCCGCTCCTCAATGCTTTAGGGGCCTTTTAATGTGGGAGTAGGGCGGAGAGAAGCGAGAGATAAGGCTCAACAGGGTATAGGAGAAGGCGTTAGCCCGAGGAGGTACCTTAAGTTACCTGGGGGCAATGCGTTTTCTTAGGGGGAGTGCAGGCATCTACACACTTGTGGTGCCCCTGGCTTGGAGGGAGAGGTGGCCGAGATGAGATCTGGAATGTGCAGACACCAGGAATGTTTTAGAAAAGCAGCAAGGCCTTTTCTGACTATGCACCTTCACCTTGCAAGAGACGGCAGAAAAGGAAACATTTTCCTCCCAAACACCATGGCCCTGGAGTTGCAAGGAACTGGTTTTGGCTAATGTCTGCAAAGTTGTAGCCATCAAGTCCTGCCGTACAGAATAGACCACCTCCACCCCCCACACACCGTAGTGCCATTAGCCCCAGTTTGCTGTCCCAAGGTTTCAGACCTGAAATGCTTTGCTGGGTCAGGGACAGCGAAGACACCAGCCCTGGCAACAGCACCATGGCAACCAGGCCAGCCAGGGGTTGGCGAGTAAAATGTAAAACTTTAAAACACACACACAGAAGAAAAAAAAAAAAAAATCAAATCCACAAAATTTGCAACTTGACTTAATTACACTTTTTGCTGTTTCCTTCCCCAGTTAAATGTTCTTTTTTATGGTAAATAAAGATTCAAGGGTCTAGGGATCTTATCTGACCCTTCTGAGTGAAAACAATGCACTGTATCTTCTACCTTCCCTAAATGCAAAGATATCTCCACTCTGGGCTTTATACCCAACTTCAAATAAGAAATTTACTGTAGCCTCTGTCCCTAGGACTGGCTTTCCTCTAAGAAAAGGTAAAAGGAGATGGGGGATGGAGGGACAAGATAGTGAGAAACTATTTTAACAATAGATTTAAAAAAGGATGAGGACCTGTGACCAGCACCCTGCCTGCCCCCACCCGTCCCTCCTCTACCCCAGGTCCTGGGCTGTTAAAGGTCTTCAGCTCCACACACGCAGCCTTTCTAGAGCAAATCATCCTGATTGGGATTTTTTGAAAATTTCTTTTTTGATGAGAGGCACCGGATGTGGGCAGGATGTTACAGGCACCCCCAGAGACAAGCAAACAAAAATAGTGTAGAATGGATGAATGTCCCCAGCGGAGCTCAGCAGGGTTCCCAGCTCCGGGAAGGCCTCTTCTCCCTTGAACAAAACTCCCAGAGTCCCCTACCCTGGAGCACTCCAGGGGGTGCTTCGGAAGCCTAAATCCTGGGCCACCTTCCCCATTCTGTTCACAGCCTTCCTGCCCACTCTCTTATCCCTTTTCTCCTTTCTTCTCTAAAACAATCATGTGTGTCCCCCTTCACCCCCTCCCGCCATTGTATTTGTTGATGACCTAACACGCTCACACCAAAAGCCACACACAGAAAACCAACAACGTGGGATGGGAGGAGAGACCAATTATGACTGAGGCTAACAAGCGGGGAACACCCAAGTTGAGGCCGGCTGTCTCCCGGGAGACTGATGGAGGCTTATTTTACAAGCTGTAATTCCACTGCACTCCCTCTTGCTAGACTGGAGGTGATGCCCGTTCTCCCCTCCCCCTCGGCCCCTGCACCCTTGGGGCCTATTCCAGATCGTTTGTATCCTCTGCAGAAGAAGCTGCCACCTTGTGCTAAAAGTGTCACTCATGAAAGGGTAGAGAGGACAGGAATGTTTTCACAAGCATACCTTCACAAAACTGTATTTATTTTTTACATTAGTTGCTGTTTGTCAGAGCTCTGAGCTCACTGCCAACATTCGCAGGGAATGGTTAGATGTCATTGTCACCACATCCCCCCACCACCAGGTTCACATTAAAAAACATTGACTTACTTGTCTTCGCTCTCTCTCTAAAGAAGGGGTGATATTTCACTGTAAGATAACACAAGTGATAGCTAGGAGTGCGAAAAGAAGCAACAAATTAAGTTACGTTCATTCATGCAAAACTAGAGGTCTCATTTCCCACCAGGGCCAGCACCTGGGGTTTAATGCTGTCTTGTTAATTAGAAGCAGCAATATTCCCTGCAGTGTCAGGAGATGATGCTAGCAATACTATACTTTCGTGACTCAAATATCATGATATTTATTGAGAGAGAAAACTTCAGATCACAAACGGATATGCCAGGGAAAGATGCTGGCGTGCAATGCACATTATAACTTTGTAATGCGAATTATTTGCTGTTTTTTAGTTCTACTTGTTTATGTGGCTCAATCTCTGCTTCCTTAAATGGCTGGGTCCTAATTTTTTAAAATAAGGAAATCAGCTTTCCCATGTTTCATTTATTTGAAAATAATAAAACACAGGTCCAGAAAGAAGCAGGGATATTTTTGAACTAGTTTTGGTAATGATCTGAGCAAATAAAAATAAGATTGCATGCATGTGAATTTTGACTTGGTATTTCATGAAAAATATAATCTCAATTCGTTATTTCTTCTATTTTTACAAAGCAGAAGTCATTATATATTGAATTTTGTTGGGAAATTTTTGCTCACTGAAAGAAAAGCATGTATGTAATTCCTAATTTTAATTCATGGATGTTAAAAGTGCTTTACTTGAAAAGATAGAACAATTTTGGAAGTATTTGGAGGAGACAGCTTGGAGGGCAGTAAGGCCTGAGGTAGATAGCTGGAGAACTGAGGAGGACTGATGATGATTACATGACTTTTTCTGTGAAGGAACGGGGTGAGATGTCAGCCAGGGCAGGAGCTGGGTTATAGAGAGCTTCATATGGAAGGCAGAAGAATCTTTAGCGAAAAAGTCAGGATGTCAATATGTGCACCCTTCGGTATAAAATATACAGCTCTGCTTAAGCTTTTTGCTTGCATTACCTCCTAAAATTCCTTTTAAATTTCAAATAAAGGAGATCGATTTCACTGTATATTTTGCATTTGTTCTGTGATTCTAAGCTACATTAATCAGGGCAGTTCACACCAAGAAATAAGTTGTAACTTCAAAAAAAATCTATGCCCTACTAGCTGAGAAAATTCTCTCTCTAGAAAAGAGAGACTTTTTCTCCAGAAAAGTTAGTCAATTTATTGGCAGAAATTTGTTTTTTTGTTTTACCATTTTAGTGTTTTAAGTGGCCTTCATGCCGGTACCCTTGTCCAGCCCTCTCTTATTCTGAATGGAAACAATTCAATCCAATCACCATTGAG